TTTAGCTTGGTAATACATTCGGGTTGCGGTCTGAACAGCGCAAGACAATGCAGCAAATGGGTTTCGCAACACAAGACTGCAGCCGTGGCGTATGGAATTCACGTACAATGAGAGACATAAATAACTTGCGTCTCATTTTCGGCACCATGTATTGTTAAGGCGATTCTCTATAGAAATGACGCGGTAGGACGTTAAATTGTAATTCCAAAAGAAAATTGAGTTTAGGATTTTCTTTCCTCCTTTTGTAAATTTTGTTGTAAATTGTCTAATTAAGAAGGCGCACAGTTTTTACAAAACTATCGCAAAACTGTTTGATTCCTTAGCTTATATGAAAGTGCGCACACTACTCGATATTTAGTTGTGCTATTAAACAATTGAATTGGCTACGAAACAATCGACAATCGCACAAAAGTTATGCAATAGTGTAGTCAGAGGTGTGCGCCCGCTCTAAACAGTTGACTAGCTGAGAAACAACAAACAGTCTGTGTTTGTGGTACGATTTTTTTATTAATTTAATTTTAAAGGAATTAAAGCTCCCTACATACGCTCAGCTCTCGAACGTCTGCAGACGGATTAATAAATTTCATGAAAAAAATGCAAGTTAATATCAATTTTATTTACGTATCTTTCACAAATGTTACATTGAGTGATTTGACTTAAGAATGAATGTGAATTAACCTTTTAAAGTTAAAAGACATTTGGCTTCGCAAGGATCGAGCATTGCCCAATAACACTCGATCAAAAGCCGACGACGTCGATATCGCAAAATGGCCGACACATAATGAATTTGGTTATATAGTCGGACAAATTTATCTGGCCCGATAAAAGATACTCTTTAGCAAAACATATTCAAAACCTATGTAGACTAAGAAAAAGGTCTACAATACATAATAATATACAATCCAAAAAGAATCTTGTGGCACTTTTTAAAATTGCCAGAGCTTAATGAGCTGTTAAAATTATCTTTTACTCTTATCCATCGGGTCAGATAAGTTTATCACACTGTACATAATTACCATCACTTTTTGGAATCCTTGCGTGCCTTATTGAAGTGTTTTTTTTATTAATTTCCTTTCATTAATTATGTTTTTTACATTAACACAAAAGCAAACTCTCACATCTGTTATTATGAATATAATTACTAAGTTAAAAACTCAAAAATATCTAATTTACAGTTTTTACTAACATTTAACAAACAATTATAGTATACAAAACAATTAATCCATGGTTATCCTAGCATGAAATTGGGGTTTCCAAATCATTTCCCCTTATACGGACATTTGTATAAGAAACCCTTCGATTACGCCCAACGCTTTATGTAATACTAATCCGTTCTAGGTACTCTCGTATAAATATAAAAACACATAACACAACTAACGAACAAACGAATTATTTGAACATAATGTCGTATATACCTTTATTGAACGAAAGATCGAAAGATTAAAGAACGAAAGATTCTAAATATTCAAATAAATTGGAATGAATGTAAGGAGTAATTAAAAACCTAATAAAGTATAATACAGCTGCAATTAATAATACACAGCTGTCTATAAAAATTAAACGATAAACGTCTGAAAAACCAAACATAAACCCTTAAAAATGATTGTACAATATTCGGGCATCCTTACAGCGAAATGGCCGCAAAAAGTCCGTCAACGCCCAACATACAGCTATAAATAGATTATAAGCCATTTCCAAAACTATAGGTACACTAAATGTACTTTAGCTGAACCGGATCGCACTCACACCGAAACTGAGGTACACATTGACAGAGGGAACACTGTTACACCGCGGCTGCGCTTGCGCATCGCACACATGCGTCGGAAGGGCAAAGGGAAATTTTGGCAATAATTTGTGGGTTATAACATATACGACCAATACAAGTGCATCAAATTATTTTACATTTTCTAATCTATACTTATAATAAAATTGGGGTGTGTATTTGTAATATCAAAAGATAAATTCCAGATTTCGGGAAGATGGTGTATTTGCGTTGATGTTAACGAAAATCGCATTTAAAAAATGTTTGTCTGTCTGTCTGACAGTCTGACTGCCTGTCTGTCCGCAAGCCGCGACCGGACTTTCATTGAAAGGTAGCTGACATAGACATCGATATTTATAATCAATAGCTAGTTAGTGATAAAATAATAAATTGACATTATAAAATTATTTAGTTACAATTGATTACAAATGTATACTTTAAATTTTATAATTAATAACAATATGTCGTTGAAAAATGAATTACGGATCAGCAGTAAGTACGTTTGACCTTCCGTAGCTGCCGCGAACAGCACTCAGCTACGATCGCTCACGGTCATGCTGTCAGTTGCATCTAAGTTACATTTTAAACAACACTTGTTCCATTTTTCCTCAACAGAAAAAAAAATACTACATAATTATTCTAATACAAAACAATATGTGTAAACCAGTGCTATTGTAAAACGATACTATTTCTAATAATTAGACTAATAACTAGTTCTGATGACGTTTCATCTTTATGTATAACTAGCTGTTCCCATGCGGCTTCACCCACATGAAATTATAAAAACTTTATTTTATTTGTCAAATTATCAATTACAAATGTCAAAATGACATGACGACAACCTTGTTTCCTTGATGTTAGCAACAACTTATGGTCGCTTTCCCACATTGGGGTTTTTATCCCTTATGTTTAATGGCGTCAAAATATACAGGACTAAAGCAAGTGTAGGGCTTTTTATTAAAAAAGAAATATTCAAAAGTATGTTGTAATTGCTGACATCTTAGGCAACAAAGAAGTGTGTGTTTACGCTTTATTATAATAGTATCTAAAAGCCTTAAAAAACACTTCAAATATACTAAGTACTAACAAAAATAACCGATATGTGTTATGAAAGTTCTGTTACAAATGGATATTTAACAATTCAAGGCATACAAAGTTCAGTTTTCAGGATTTGATTTCAGGTGAAAACCGGCGTATGAGCACTCAATTTTACTTATCGAATTTTACAGCAAGTAGACGAGCTCTTATTAAATTATGCGGAGATGGCTCAAAGCGACCCAGTTACAGCATTTTCAACTGGGGAATCCCTTGAGTAAATCTACAGAGCTTTACTACGTAGGCCCTTTTACTTCGAATGAAAGACGTTTATATTAGAATTCGAGCCAACTAATTACTGGGAATATTTAATGTTATTAAAATTGTGAGGTTTTTAATCGTAAATTCATTTTAATATTTTGCTCGCTCAACTTCTGATAAACTTTTTTTTTAAAATACATCGGTAAAGAAAAAAATAGTAATTCCATAATTATGAATTGATTTATCGTTAGTAATTAATGTTTTTGTTTTTTACGTAAAATGTTGCATCATAATTTAGCGTATTGATAACAACACATAAATGCTCAATATCCGTGTAGTAGTGCTGTGTGTGTATGTGTGTGTGTGTGTGTGAACACTAAAGGCAATCATTATTTGTAAGTACTAGAGGATAGGCAGATTGTATATATAGATTTTGGGTGTACAGTGCGGAAAATGTGAGTGGCTGGTTACATTTATTTTAATTTACAAAAATAAAAACTGAATATTATTTTACTTAACAATAGACAATTAGTGTAAAAGTATGTATTTATTTTAAACCGTCAATTCCAGTTTAATCGATTTAATAAATATGAAACAAGGAAACAGGAATATTATGTCCACACTATTAAAAAACATATAGACATCTACATAGGTTTTAATTAAATAACCTTACTAATTTTATATATGGAAACTTCGGATAGATGGATGTATGGATGTTTGTTGGAGTTTGTAGCTTACACTGCTAAAAGGATCTCGATGAAATTTGGCAAAGATGTAGAGGATAGTCTGGAAGAACACATAGGCTACTTACTTTTGTTATTTTTTTTAATTCTACTCGGATGCAATTATAGTATTTCGTAATTTAAATAAGAACATTTAAATAAAATTTTATTCAGACAGTTATTTATAAATAATTGGTATAGTGTAGAAAAAATATAAAAATAGTTTAATATGGAATCCAAGCACTAACATACTGCAAAACCAAACCGCCGAAATAATTCGAAGCGGCCCAAGCGCATAGGTCAAGCACACTGCACCCATCCTGCTCTCCCGCATGTATTAAAAAGAGACAGCTGCAGATGCTCTCTAGAACTTGCAGCCAAAAATGCAGTTCGACCCGCCATCGCAAAGTATGCAATGAGAATTTTTTGGCCACTTTTTTGTAGGCTCGCCTCCTTGCTTATGCGTAGATTAAAAAATGCTCGGCCGCGCAATTTGAGCGATGGTGAAACGTCTTGGTCAATTATGAATTATAGTGATCGATGTGTTGCCGCTGACATTACTGTGACCTCTGACATGCCTACAAAATGTACGCCTCGTGTACTTTATATTCTGACAAACGTAAGGTTAAAATATCAAAAATATTTAGTCTTAAAGCTAAAGATTTCTTTAATACATCATATTTTACTTGTGGGAATTAACTAAATAAATTTCCATTTGTCAATATCTAAACAGTTATAACAATGGTTTGAATTTGCAATGTATTCGTTACAAACTACGAGCTTCTGACTTTAAAATTCAAAGTGCCTAATTTAAAATAAATTAAAATTAATGAAGTAGAACAATGTCGTATTAAAATAAATTTCTACAATAGTTCAATAAATTTCTTTAACACATTATTATGTATACTTAAATTACTTCTTGTTGCTTTAATTAATCATAAGCCTTTGGCGTTCAATTTGGTAAATGATTATTAATTAAGATAACCGTTTATTGCATATAATTAATCACGACTATATATAGTTATACCACATAAACAGAATACTGTATTGAAACGACACAAAAACATAAATGTGCAAGTAAAAGTTACAACCGCCTGCAGAAAAAAATAGCAAACATTATTTTTGGTAATTATTCGATAAAAACAGGCGCAGTAGCGTTATTACTATGTAATCGATTTTTACGATTAAAGTATTTTTAAAAGTTAATTCTTATTTCTTACCTGCTGGTTAGTATCATGTTTCTCGCTACTTTCAGAGACCGAAGATTCCACGGGCTTCTTGCACCAGCCGGGACACCAGCGCCGGCATAAAGACCTTTAACATACAATTAAAAAAGTAAATTTTATGTTAGCATAACCTTCAAAATGTTTTGTCAATTTTAAAAATTTTATAGGACATAATACGTTTGTGGACAAGAATAACTTTAGTCAAATAAACACATACAAATATGAATCCTTTTGGCCTGTATACAGTAAATCATTGCAAATTGACTTAATTTTTATCCGGTTTTATATGAACCGGATATTTTTCAGTCGACTTCATCCGGTTTAATCGGAATTAGGTCGAGTACTGGAAATGTTTATTCTACATTCAAGTACCTTCATAAACCGCTGTATATCAGCAAGTTAATATTATGAAAAACATATATTCCGTATAAATATGTAACATTATTAATATATAGGCTGTTTATGTTATGGTTTAAAAAAAAAACAATCTTTTTTAGTCCCCTTAAAATATATAAAAAAAACTTGTGGCCTTAAATGTTCATTTCATAAACATTTTAAATAAAATTGCAAGGTAATCGCAAACAAAAATAAATTTTAACGTTTTTCTAACCAGTTAGTTAAAAATTATACGTTGCATACATTTGAGGTTAACCTACTTTCTGAAACAAAGTTTGTTTGCAACGAATTTCTCTGCAATTGGCATAAATCTAGTTATACTGAGCTCTCGGAACATTTGCAAAAACGATCAATAAAGTTGCTTCAATTTATTTTGAACTACGAAACAATATGTGGATGAAATTTTGCATTAAATAAACAAGGTAACCTTTAAACAAAAGGGTAGAACAGTCAAAGAAATAAAACAGACTAGACTTCTGCAAGTAATAACGGATTACATTGTTATTCATTACAGCGTTACACGTCATTCAGCACTGCCGAGCGGTGACTGAATACAGGGTTAGGTATCTTGGTTCGCCGAGATCGCTCCCGGAGATCACCAGCAATATAAAGGGTCTGCTGGGGTTCTTCGGTGAGCTGGGTTGGCTGGAGTAATCCATGTCCTATTCTCACGCAAAATACGCGCTATTCGTGGAGTTCCGGAAACCGTAGCCCCTACTACTAACGGATTACATGAAAACTCTACGAATATTTAGTGATTTATATGCAAAATTACTATTTACTTAATGTAATTTTCGATTACATTTCATTCTCCTAAAAGGCTTAATAATTATCTTTTAAAGTGACATCCAGTATTTATAAAGCATAATCGTAATTGACTTATCAAATAAAATAGCAAACATAATTTAACGAAGATATTTTCCCAATGCATTGTTATGCTGCATACCAATGCATTCGATCGCTCGGAATTATTCATTGGAATGCGACGGACGACAGATGCATCTCGTATTTCAACACGACAGGGACAACCTAAAGTGAAGCATTACGTGAACGCATTATCACGTCTTTTTAGACATAAATAGACAATTAAACCAAAACCCAGATAACAGACATGACAGTAGTAGTGCCCGCTTTAACATCTTAGCACTGCAGGGCCGGCACGCCCGGTGTAACACCATGACCAAACAGAAGATAGGCGTGAAAGCAATTCCGTATTTGGTCTGATGAGTGTGGTTCCGGAGGCCTCATTTAAGTCCTGTTATCTTTACCACCCTTTTCTTATAATGAGAGGATGGAAGGGGAAGTGGATTTGACGGTAGTAGAGATGCATATGAAGGGGCAATATCCTCTTTATGTGCGTCTCCTCCTCCGTCGGAAAAGGGTAGGCAACGCATCTGCGATCGCGGATGTCTATAAGCAGCGGTCGCTTCGCCATTTTGGCGGATTCTCGTGGCCGCTTGCTCGTCTGCTACCTTATGTTTTATAAAAAAAAAAGACTCCTTATACCTAATTCTATGAACTCAGATAGTAATTTTATTTAAATTTATCCTCATTACAACTTTAAATCTAAAGACTATCAGAAAAATATTACAAACTATTCTCAGTCTCCTATCAATCAAGCAATATAAACTGGGTGTATATATATATCACTTATAAATTTTCACTATTCAAGATGACACTAAAAATAGAGAGTAAAATATGGAAAGCTTTTATCCAGTGTCGTGATAACCTACATACGCGGACCGTGAATACTAGACATTTAGGGCGTAAATAACATTTCCGACTGAAACCAGAGTATGTGTAGCTCACATCTGACCTTTTGAAAATACACTTGCACACTATAAACTTTTGAAAATATATGCCTAATTTACTTAATAATTATAATCAAAATAAATAATGTTAACATTAAGGGAAAGGAGTGATGACTGAGATTACGGATGATAGAGTTATTTGGAGGACGAAAACCCGGTGCGCCGACCCTACGGGAGTAGGATAAGGCAGGGGAGATGATGAACTTTTAATATATGCAATAGCGTTGAATACAGATTATTCGGCTTTTAAGAACAGATAAAAACTATCAACGGATCTTTTTGTTGATGGTAAACATCTTAAAGTTGGTTATCATTCCATATTACTTATTTTAATACTTTCTTTAGTCATTAAAAAATGTAAATTTCAACTAGGAACTTATTTAATAAAAAGTAAAAAAAAAACATCTACGTACACTAGAAAAATTACTACACAATATATAACATAAAAAGCAATGTTTTACTAAGCTTTGTTCCGTGAATATTGGATGAAAGCAATCGGAATTGAATTTACGTTTCCATTTCAATAGTTTGTTGTAGACATTGATATCGGTACAGAATCGATGTGATTGAGCGCCGCTAGATGGCGTTACGAACCGTTTTATTCAACCAGACATTTTGTTTGAATCCAGTAATGGAATGTCAATGAATAAATGAAACAAGAAACAAAAATAGAAAAAATACAGTATCAAACATTGGTTTATCATACTAATATTGTAAATGCGAAAGTTTAGAGGGATGGATGGATGTTTGCTAGAGTTTGTAGCCTAGACGACTGAACGGATTTCGATGAAATTTAACATAGATGTAGAGGATAGTCTGGAAGAACACATAGGGTACTCACTTTTGTTTTTTTTTTTAATTTAACGCGGATAGAGTCGCGGGCGAAAGTTAGTATATAAATAAAGCTCAAAGCACTATAATACAAAGCTCTATAGTAACAAACTTTACCATGTTTGGTAGCTTTTTAATACTATTGTCTAATATTTAGCTTTGCTTTTTCGTCTAATAAATATTTATTCACTCCTTTCCATTTCAAATTCTATCAAAATCGTTTCTAAATAAGTTAATTAGTTACAAAAAGGAATTGAAAAACGACGGAGGATGGCCGTTGAAACTGGCAGTTTAAATTCAATCAGTTGTTTTAACTTTTCAGTTTAATTAAACGGAGAGCGTTTACACTAACTCCGCGGCGTAGCGGAGTGCGCAAACTTATTTTAACTGTATAATTAAACATGATTTTTCTTGTTGGTGAATTTGAAGTTTCTCTAGCATTGTAATTCCCGCTGGTATTATTCATTTTAACCTTAGTTGACTTTTTCTTTATTACATTCGTAAGCCAACAAACTCAAGCGACTAATCCAAGAAAAATGACGTCACAGTCAAAACGTCACTAAATTGTCACATATAAATCCGACAAATTTTGTAAACACTAGTTGCTCGCGATTTCGCCCGCGACAAATTAAAAAACATGTAGCTAATGTTACTCACTGATAACGTAGCTTTTTAATGGTGAAAGAATTTTTGAAATCGGCAAAGTAATTTTTGAGATATTTATACATACAAAAATACAAATCTTTTTTTTTTATAATATTAATATAGATTATTTCTTAATATCTACTTCCTTTTAATCCGTAATTAACTTAGGGTAACTTTTGTGGTAATAAATATGTACTGGAACTGACCTGACAGCAAGCGTAGCAAATAGCACGGCTAGAAGCGGCAGCAGCGTACCGAAGCAGGCCAAGAGCAACGTCTGCATGTCCGTGAAACCTGAGAAGAGAGAGAGGACTGCGACAGGTCAAATGCCAACACTAAGTTCATACTACACACGCACTGTACCACATTTCAAACACGATAATGTTATACTATGGATATCAAAAACTGCTTAACGGATCTCGCTGTTGGCACATTAAACTTTGGAAGAAGATATAGTCTACCTAAGGGCGGCATCTTTGACTAAACTATCGCACAAGAGTTGTGCGATTGTCGATTGTTTCGCAGCCAATTCAACTGTTTAGTTGCACAACTAAAATTCGAGTTGTGTGCATCATCATATAAGCTCATAGAAATGAAAGCAAGACTAAACAATTGTACGATAGTTTAGGTTCAAATTTGTGCATGTTTTATTAAGATTTTTTTTATGACTCCAGAATAAAAACTATGATGAAATTAGAAGTACTTTTGTCTATTTGTAGAACCACACGTTATTTATTATGTATGCAATATGAAGAAAGGAAATATAAATATTTTTATAGAAGTCGAGTTTTGTTTCAATTGAATTTTATAAAAGAGCAGACAACAAAAATACGCGGAATGAAAACATATTCATCGTGTTCGGTGAAATAGATTTATATAACCTTTGGAAATATAAACATTTTCGCAGGTGGATGAATTGTATAGAAAAATGTTTAAATGATTTCTACACAATCAAATTTTGTTGTAAAGTCACCTTTGAATCATTTATAAACATGTAAGGTTATTAGTTGAAAATACATAAGAGTAATTTAAAAATACTTTGACTGTCATAATCAGCCGTTTAAAAGCTTCATTTTCACCTAAAGCTACAAGAAGTTTCCTTTGCATAATATAAAAAAAAACTTTATACCATAGGTCATTTAACAAGTATACTTGTACATATGTAAATGTATCAACTAAGTAGCAAACATAAACACAACTTAACACAATAGCCTTAAGTAAACTGAATAAGTAATTAAGTTAAAACTCAATGCGAGGTTTATGTAATTTTAATGAGCGTCAAAATGTAGAAGCTTTGTTTTTGAAATGCAAATAATTTTGCTTTTAGAAATGAAAAGTATTTTATATACATTTCATGTCACAAATGTGGCATGAATTGGACGCATAGAAAGTAATAGAATATAGCACAGGAGTATTCAGTATAGAAGTAAATTTTCAATTTTCACACCTCGTTTCGTTCGTGTACATTATTTTGATTTACTAAGACGTTCCTAAATTCTACTAAACACATAAGAGATGCTTTTTAATCTACCAATTTTCATCATAAAATAAAACTCAATTTCATTTTAGGTTATTAAATGCGAATGTTTGTATGGATGTACATATATTTGTTATCTGATCTCGATGAAATTTGACATAAATGTAAACCAAAGTCTGGAATACCACATAGGCTACTTACTTTTGTTTTTAAATTTGACGCGAACGAAGTTACGGGCTAAAACTAGTAATTAATATAAGTTGAACTTTCAATTTTTTTTTCCATTTCCATTCGTAATTAAATAAATCAACAGAAAAGAGCAAATGTTTGTTACAAGCCCGACAATGAGTAAACGCCGAATTAATTTGGTAATGTCAGATAAGTGAGCAAATTCCGTCAGTAATTTTTCCGACCTTTACACATTCTGCCTCAACGGATACGAATTTATCTATTGATTACAAAATACGATTCGATGACCTTTTCTAAAACTTCACCTTCTCAATATAACCATGTTTAATCAACACATAAGATATTAAGAGTACGTAAACCATTACTAAACTATAGCACAACTGTTCAGTCTCTCTTTGATTCCTATGAGTTCATATGGAGTAGGGTTGTAACGGAACTCCACTTCCGCATCCGCAAGTGCGAAACTTCCGCAAGAGGTATTAACTCCGTATCCGCATCCGCTTCCGTTAAAATGGCCCCCGTTACAACCATAATATGGAGGTACACATTACTCGTGAAGTTGAAGCAACTAAACAGTTGAATTGGCTGCAAAACAATCGACAATCGCACAACAGTTTAGTCAAAGATGTGCGCCCGCTTCTATACATTTTTATTAACTCCTAAATAACTATTAAAACCAATAGAGACAAAAATGGTAAAGATAACAAAAATTAAATTAAAATACAAACTCCTACCTCGTTCGTACAAACCAATTTGGCAAGCGAGCATCTTGTGCCGTGATTTTTGTGTGTAAAACTATCAAATTTAATTCTATATCTATTAATACATTTATAGTCCAAATGAAAAAAAAAACTGTAATTGAAACATGCGTATTAAGAAAGATTGTTACATAAAAGACACTTAAACCCAAAAGCAAGGATACAAAAAGGAATTACTACATACTATGTAAGAAAATTTATCTATTCTCTTAAAATGTAATCAAGTCCAAAATTGCTGCGAATAAATTATGCGAACCTTTAACATTACGCACAATGAATCCAATAAAAGGTTCCCTTGCTCTAAGCAACCTTTTTTTAAATAAATGACACAATTTGTTACGTAAACAATGCTGGCTGAACTTGTCCCGTTCCATCGTAGACGGAATGTTGACAGTTTTTTAAAGCTTTGAAATTAAACCATTAAAAACAAAAGTAGTGTACAATATAATGAAATGAAAATACAATACAATAAAATGGGTTGTGCAAATGTAAACCAGAGTATTTTTGAAATTATTGTTTTACAATTATATCTTTCACATAATGCTTTATATGCATCAAAACAGTACAATTAATACGACAAGGTTCTGTTAAAAAAAGATTTGGAAATGCAGCGAAATATTCGAGGCTTGTCAAATTAAAGTAACAAGGCTGTTTTAATTAATTATCCATTCCGTTTCACACGTTACTAAAGTAATCGCCGTTTTTATTTGATAAGGGTCTGACATTGACACCATTAAGCTTTCATTTATAACTAAACTTTACGTGAATTTACACATAAACCTATTTTTAAACATAACGTCAAACTTACTAACACTTCAAGGATAAAAGTTAGGATATCTTTTTATTGTAATGTAAACCCCTGTCTATAATCAATAGCAAAGTATCATAAATGAAGAATTTATACTCACTTGTGTCCGGCGCTAGATCGTTGTCTACCTCATGACCGGTCATATTAGCTAAATTATACGCACTCTTGTTCTCATTAGTTGGTTTAAACACTTCCACCAATTCAACGTATTCAGCTTTTTTCATCACATCACTAATATTTTTGTCCCCTGTCTCGACTTTATTCTCACTGAACCCAGAGTCTTTACTTAAAGTCACATTACTTGCATCACTTTCATTCAATTTTCTCGATATTAAGAATTCAAATCTCGGTGCATCTTCAACAAAATCTGAATCATGTCGAAATAGTATATCAGTGAGAGTCTCTTCCCTATCAGTTTCCGAATCAATAATCTTATCTAAAAGCGAACTTGATATGTTTAATTGTTTCTCAATACCTTCGGCGTCATCTTTGTGCATTTCTAGAATGCTCACTTGATCTTTCATCACTTTCTCTGATAGTGCTTCGTCTCTGTCTTGTTCTGCGTTCATGATGTCGTCCAATTGTGTTTTAAAACTTCTAGTATCTTCTGGAATTTCCTCATCACTAGCGACTACCAACGTATCTAGGTTAGGATCAACTGGTAACGTGAAAGAACGATTATCAACCGATAATATTGATGCGTCTGTTACATTACGTTCAGAGTACGGCCTACCGTGTATTATATTCGAAGACAGTACTGCATTTAATATAAAAAACATTAATTTTAATTTAACATTAGTCATTTTGATGTCTATTATAATGTAAGGCAGGTATAATTGTTGCTAGTAACTCATTCCTTTCGCTGTACTTCGTTAGAGTGCATTGTAGTCGCCGACCCTGCGAACAAAGAAAACTTTTAAGTACCAGAGTTTACAAGGAATTTGAATAAAACTCTACGTACAACGATCGTTTTATTTTTCACTTTATTAGAAGTTGCCGCAACTTTGCCAATTTTCGTTGAATCGCCGTTTGGGGCTAAATCAAAATTGGCTTTAACTTGCCATTGCGACAACTTCTGAGAGGAAAGCTTTTTATTCACTCTTTTAAAGCCAGCGAACTTCATTAAGGAAGCCTTGCAATTTCTCTTATATTTATGAAGTTCGTTACAATCGAACAATACATTTTCTCTTAGTTAAATCGAATAGATTTTTAACTTTATTCAAATACTAGCTATGACCAGTGACTCTGTTAACTTATAGCCTATATGTTCTTCCAGGTTATAAATTACGTCTGTGCTGAATTTCAGAGAGATCCGTTTAGCAGGTTAAATGATACACATAGACAAACATCCATCCATCTAAACTTTCGCATTAATAACATTAGTAGAATTATTGTAAAGCCTATAAAACAATGTGGTTTCTTACTGAACGATTCATGTCCTTTGCAAATTAATCTGTGAAAAGAGCAGCGAATACTGTTAGGTAAGAGATGTTAGTAATGAGTGTCATCTTATAGTCGTTACGTTGGCTCACGAGGTCGGATCAAAGGGAAACGTCGCCGCCCCGTGCAGCTCTGAGCAGCCACTCAGACTCTAAGTGATTCTTAACATCATCGAACGTGGCTTTTATCAGTTATGTAATAAGAGGTTATCACCTTAAGACACAATTGCTATTAATTTTTATCAGGCGTTACAAAATATTACTTTTATTGTAATTTTTAGTCAGTCAATGCCAGAATTGAATAATTGAATAGAATTAATATACTTCCTAAATCGAGAAGTTTCCCCCAAATCATTCACCTAACAGCAATTTCCGCTGTCGATGGCACTTTTATTCCATTTCCGTTCTCTTTCCCACTCACTTAAGCTCGATGAATAAGGTAACAGAAAATTATTCAAAATAACATAGTATGCAACAAAATTGTAAACTTGTCTTAACTTTTTATATAGTTACTTTGCTAGCTAATTAACCAAGTGTCAATCTTTTGCTATTGCGAACTTTAAAGAAAAATTACTTAAACTGAAAAAAATGTTTCCGTTAATACTTTTTCTTGTAACTTGACGTTAATTAAAAATGAAAAAAAGTCTGCATCGAATAGACTTGATAATTCAAGTGAAAGATGGAATATAATTTTTCATAGAAATAGTGTTGAACTAAGTTATTTACCTTCAGTTTTCTAAGATTAGATTTTATGTCTTACTCGACTACATATTAATTACATTTCTTTAATTAAAATCTGAATTAAAAGTCATGTAAGTTACTTATTAAGTAACAATAGTCTTTTTCGCTTACTTAGCTTTTTACTTTGAGAGTATAAAAATCGATTAGCCATTTTCAACACAGTCACGATATAATCCGATGAAAACAAAAACAAGGAATGAAAAGCACTCCAACACCCTTACTTTAATCTCGAAAAAAGGTTGACTCAGTTTCAAACCGCCTGAGGAGAACATTCTCCATTCGCTGTGACGAAGTAAAAGCGTGTAAATAAATGACGACAAACTGTTCTGTTAATGCAGGTTTCCATTTTTGACACAATAATGTCATCACTTTAATTCACTTTGACTTAAGAGAAACAAATTCTCTATCTATCTTTACATTCCACTGTTGGACATAGGTCTCTCTCAGAGATTGCTAAGATCGGTCTTGTGTCTGTCGCATCCAGGGTTACCAGTATTATAAATGTAAAAGTTTAGATGGATGTTTGTTAAAGTTTGCAACCTAAACCGCTGAACGAATCTCTATGAAATTCGGCATAGATGTAGAGGTTAGTCTGGAAGAATATATAGATTACTTACTTTGGTTTCTTATTCCAAACGGACGGAGTCGCGACCGAAAGCTAGTAATGAAAAGGGAATATTCCTAATGGATGTCTATTTTGAAAGACTCAATTATTGTAGAGAAGTTTTAGCTATAGTTTTAAATGTATGTTTTCTTTAGTAATCGAAAGTAAATAGAAGCAGGAAAATACATCTGGAAATGTACCCTTGGGGTGGTCATGATATGTATTCGTAATTAACAGTAAAAAACATATTCGTAATTGGAATAAGTACATGTAGAGAGTATATAACATAAGATATCACTGAAACATATTTTTTTTACACACATTTCCCAGAAAGTTAAGTATGATGATGAGATTATTATTTACTCTATGTGGATATTACTGTTGTCTATGAATATAATACGGTAAAAACTTGCTTTATAATCTACATGCGACCTAATAAGTTGTACGTACGGTACAATAGTTCTGAACAATATGGACGCAAAGCAGAAATAAATCCATTCAAGTAAACCTCACTACCGTTAACATTCTCTCTTCGAAGTTTTTCCGATTTCGTTTTACGTAAATGAAACGTGCATGTATTGTACATTTTTAAATCACTCCCCTCCCCCACACGCCCCGTCCCCTTGCATTCGCAATCCGAGCTAGACACATCCAGCGAGTCGTACATCGATGCTAATCGGTATTCATAGCACGCGGCCCACTTTCAGCACGAATCCAGCGGGAACAGCGCTCGAAAGCCAATCGGATTTTTGCTGCAGAATAAGCACGATCTAATTAACACGACACGAATCCGCGCCAATCATAATAAGCGATTTAATTGCTTTACTCCAGCGCTTTTTAATTTCTCGTAATATATACATCAGCTTTACACGCTAATGTTACGAGACGCTGAATGAGTTATGAAACTTAAGATCGTTTACCCTGATATATGTATAAGATATACTAATAACTTGATAAAAACAATGCAATCCATGTTACTTGAAGAAAAACAATTGGTAATATCACTTCAATACTTTTCGACAGAATAAACAAAAATCATCCGTCTTCTCTCCGTCTAATCACAATCGCAAGCCACGTGCAAGCAAGGCAACATGTGCAACTATTACATACGAAAATTGCACCAATTTACATATTGGTACACCGACTTGACCTAAATCCGGCGTCTTTCTACGTAACCGTAGGCTTTAATTCCAGAAGAACAGAGCTAAACGCTCTCCAGTTATTAAAACACATTTGTAATGCGACAGTACAGGAATTTCCCTGCGCTTTGCCGATAACAATATAAACCGAACTAAGCAATAACTATCGAAGCTGTAAACACTACCAAAATAGGATCAATATGTGAAATTCTATCTCGTTTTTTAATACGAAAATACACTTTATTGCACAATTTCGTTGGACTAGCGGCTTGTCAAAATATTCACAAAATAACAATGCACCCCATTTGTTATTTTTTAAATATTTTATAACAATATGCAGCCTTGGTATAAAGTAGTATAATGGTAAAATAATTTTGGACATTGATTGTGTGGTTATAAATTAAATATATTTATATTTATCGTTTTAACTAACTAACCACTATATATAAATTAGGGTTGTAACGGAACTCCGCTTCCGCATCCGCAAGTTCAGAACTTCCGCAAGAAATATTAATTCCGCATCCGCTTTGCTTCTATTATTTCTTATGCGGAGTTATAACGGAGGTTAATTTACGTCTTTAACGCGAGTGGGGCGATTAGGTATCGTTTATGCCCGCGCGGGCAGATAGGTCAACTAACTATAATTGTTACACATTATATTTGCATAATAAACTGTATGTTGTAATTATGTACCAATCTGTATTTTGAATTACGTAGTTTTAGTTTTTACTTCTTTAATAAATATCAATTAAGATTTTATTATCGACCTCCGCTTCCGCTTCCGGTAACCTCCGCTTCTGTAGAGGTGAAGCCCTTCGCATCCGCTTCGTTCCGTTAAAATGGCCTCGGTTACAACCCTATTATAAATATACATTAACAAATTTTGTTAGCAATGCCATATAAATAACTTTCATCTATTACTTAATATAGATGTAATATGAGACGTTAAATCAGTGTATAATAATACAATATCCGTAATTAGAAATATAATCCGAGAAGTAATTCTAACGTATGACCATACTGTAATTACGTCAACAACGTTGTTAGAGTAATAAAGCCTCCAGACCCAATTATCGGCTAATTGGTACACAACTAGAACACAATTGACGCCGACTGACTGCTTTACTAAACACCGGATTGAAAATGTCAATTTGCTGTCTGAAATATCTTTTTTTACTGTATATAAAATATGATATTTACACATACAAACAGCAACACACACACACATAAGTGCAATGATGGCTTATATTATATCTCAACTGTCCCCTGTATCATAAACTGAACCATGTTATAGTAGTTTAGGGGAGGCTGAAAACGCGCGGCCTTCAGTGACAAGCTGGAGGCCGCATTAGCTGAGCCTTTTTCTTTTGACCAAGAGTTTTTATCTTCATTTTTATTTCAGTAATAATTGTAAGTTGTGTTCTTTTAATTTTGTTTTGGTCAATAAATAGCGTTTTATTTTATTTTATGAATGTATTGTTATTTGTCTGAATATAAAAAGAGATATAACAGAATTCTTTAGACATGTCTTTAGAAGTTAATAAAAGCAAAATGGTGTTGATTCTTCAAACAATCGATACCTACAAGTTTTCCAGTAATTTTGTACCTTATTCAATCGCATTAAGGCATAATTTTCCTTTACCGTATATCAAGGAACTTTAAGGAAAGAACGTTTTCCTTAAAAATGATCTCATATTAAGATAGACGATCTATATGTTAAAAAAATCATATTATTCATCGTAGATGTCATTGTCTATCTATTTAATTTTATATTTTCTTACAAACAAGGGTTTTATTCAAACAAATTGACGGAAAGTTTTTACGTAACGGTAAACAACTAAGCATCAATCATTTCCATTCATCTTACATCCTTTGTAAATTTAATTGAGTCTTCCAACAACCTTTTAAAAGCGAAAAACATTTTGATTAAACATAAAGATTTCCAAACATTCACCTTATACATACCAGGTAATT